AAAAAAAAAAGTTAAAATTTTTTTTAAAGACACAAAAAGTGAAAAAAACTCCTATATGTCAACAGATACGCAAAAAGATGTTCAAGATCTCTAGTTATTAGGGAAACGCAAGTTGAAACCAGAATGAGATTATCACCCCACACCCGCTAGGATACCTACCAAAAAAGGTAAACAAGTAAAACCAAAAACCAAAAACCAAACAAAACCCAAAAAACCCAGAAAATAACAAGTGTTGGTGAGGATGTGAAGAAATTAGAAAGCTTGTGCATTGGTGGTGGGAACGTAAAATGGTACAGCCGCCGTGGAAAATAGTGTGGCCGTTCCTCAAAATATTAGATACGGAACTATGATACGATCCAGCAATCTTACTTCCAGGTATACACCCCAAAGCACTGAAAGCAGATTCTAAAGAGACATTGCACACCTGTATTCACAGCAATGTTACAACTAAGCAGGGGAAGAAAGCCAAGTATTCACTGAGGGGTGACTGGATAACCAAAATGAGGTATATGCACCCAAATGATTATTCAGCCTTAAAGAAAGGAAGGAGATCCTCCTGCATACTAAACATGAATGAACTTGGAGGACCTTACACTAAGTGAAATAAGCTAATCACAAAGGCAAATACTGGACGATTCTACTTCGATGAGGCTTCTAGTAAACATCATAGCAACAGGGGTGCCTCGGTCACCCAGTCGGTTGAGTGTCGACTTCGGCTCAGGTCATGATCTTATGGCTCGTGGGTTCGAGCCCCGCGTCGGGCTCTGTGCTGACAGTTCAGAGCCTGGAGCCTGCTTCAGATTCTCTCTCTCTCTCTCTCTCTCTCTCAAAAATAAACATTAAAATAAATTTTTTTTAGTAAAAAAAAAAAAATTCATAGAAACAGAAGGCAGAATGGCAATTGCCAGGGGTGGGGGGGAGGAGGGAATGGGGAGTTAAGTGTGAAATGGGCAGTTTCAGTTTTGCAAGACGAAAAAGCTCTGGAGATTGTACAACAATGTAAATATACGTAACACCACTGAGCTGTGCACCTAGAAATGGTGAAGACGGTAAATTTTATGTTATGTGTATTTAATCACAATCAAAACCAAAAATTGTCTTAAAAAAGTGAGTACACAGCTTCAGCAGAAGCAAATTAAATAAACTTTATGCTCTACAATAGGGCAGTGATAAAATTTTAAAAAATAGGGGCGCCTGGGGGCTCAGTCGGTGTAGCGTCCGACTCTTGGTTTTGGCTCAGATCATCACCTCACAGTTCATGAAATCAAGCCCCACGTCGGGATCTGCACTGACAGCACGGAACCTGCTTGGCTGCTTGAATTCTCCCTCTCTCCCTCTCTGTCCCTCCCCGGCTCATGCTCTCTCTCTCTCTCTCAAAATAAATAAGCTCAACAAAGTATTTGAAAGACATAAATTCTGTAGCTTTAGAATGTTCTTGCCACATCCCAAAGCATCATCTGGAAAGCCCCCACCTCAAATGCCAAAGCACCCAGCAAGACTCAGTGCTCCCATACCTCCCGGTCTCTCCACCAAGCCACCCTCCCACCCCAGTCAGAGAATTCAGAAAGGGCCACTTCATCCACGTTTCTCGTTGAGTTTTATTCCAGAACAATTGGTTTTACAACAAAGCTGATTTTAAAGCCAGTACATTTCCCTGCTGGTAACAGCTCCATCTTTCTTCAACCCACAGCCCCAAGAATCGAAGCTACGCCCCAGCTGGGAGTCTGGCGCCAGCTACAGACTATTAAGGACTCCAGAACAAAGCCCTGGAGCCAGGCCAGCAGAGGTCAGCGCCTCAGCCAGCTCCCCACTCTGCAGACGGCGAGGGAGCTGGTGACAGACAAGTTCAAAGTAGTGTGGTTTCAGCAGCGTCTCTCAGCTCCTGGCCCGGCTGCTTGGCCCAGATGGACACAGAAACCATTGTCAGCTTCCTGCACACAGAGGGACGCGGAGTATACACAGGTCACACGGCCACAGGGAGAACCCAGCATCTCTAGGTTGTGTCCACAGCTGTCCCGGTGCCCCACCTGCTGGAACAGCTAAGCAAGGAAGGACAGTCCCCATCTGGGCCGAAGCCACTCAAGCCAAGGGGCGTGTTCAGGTGTGACCCAGAAGAGGCTGACAGTGACCCTTGAAGAAAAAATAGCTGCTCCCACCGACCTCGGCTTGTGAAGCGCCAGGCACTGCGCTAAGCACTTAGCGTCCCCCCGTGACAGTCCTGTGAGGTAGGTTATATCATTATCCCCATTTTACAGACAAGGAAACGGGCTCAAGAGTGAGGTCAAAGACTTGAGGTCTCAAAGCTATTAAGTGGCAAGCCAAGATGGGGCTCAACGGTCTGTGTGGACCTGAGCTCTTGGTTGAACCTCAATACCCCCAAACTGCCCCTTAGGAAACAAGGAAAGAAGGGTGGGAGATGAAATCCTGACAGAGAGCAGTTCTAGAAATTTGGAGAAAACCCAATAACCACAATGACTGGATCAAAGTGCCTGAGGGGACCCCAGCCCGGGTGCGGGTGCACTGCACGGCCGCCACTGCCCGGCCCTATCCCCGGGGGACACCCACTCTGCTCCCCTGCACACCGCTGGCCTTGCTCTCGATAAATAAGGTCCCTTGGGTGCGGTTCTGCACAGGGGTCCCGGGATTCAAGCTGCTGTCTTGTTCCTCAGGCTTGTGCTTAAGGGAGCCTCGTGCTGGATGGGCAGGAGAAATGCCTGATTTGGGACAAAATTAGTATGCCACACTCCCCACCCAAAGCCTATCGGCTTTCGTCCTCCCACCAGTGCCTGGTGACTTCTGGTGCCAACACCCCATGAGCCTGAGAGCCCTGCCATGCCATCGTAGCCTCGCGCTGGGTTCCCACTACGGCTACAGCCAGAGTTCCAGTTCCGACAGAAAGCGAAGGAGGGCCCCGTAGAGTGGCCTTCACTCTACAGATTCAGGGCATACTCCTTCTGAACCTGACGTGCCTGTGGAGGACGGGGCAGAGGACAAGAGGGCTTTACCAAGTCACTGAGCTGAACTAACACCCCAAGGAGGAGACGTCATCCCATTAGACAGCACAGCCTGGGGGCGGGGAAGGCCAGTGACAGCCAGGACCGTCTGTGGCACAGTCCCTCCTCGGGCTGGGTCCTCACAGCTTGCCCACCTGACGTTTTCACGGTGTCTATGATGAAGCACCATTAGCAACCACAGGGGTGGGGACAAAGTGCCCGCAGTAGCCCTGGGGAGGGGAGGGCCGCACCGTGGGCAGAGGGAGCCAGGAGGACCGGTGGTCCCAACCCCCGGGTGCCGGCAGCGGGCTAGCGGCACCCTGTCCTGCCCAGGACGCGGTGCCCGGGGCTCGCCTGGCCCCCACGCGCCACTCGCCGCCCTCGGAGGCCGCCCGGGAGCCTCCCTGGCCTCACTCGCCTCTGTCCTGTGCGTCCCCCGCTCCTCCGCTGGGGCCCTGGGCCAGGTCCTCCGGCCAGTACCGGTCCTCCATGTACTGCTCCGTGTCTGTGCCGCTGTCGGGCTCCCGGTCCTCCGGGCAGGCGGGGAGGCTGCTGGCCTCCTGCTGCTCCCACTGCACCTCGACCAGCCGGTAGAGCTCCATGGCCGTCACGGCATCTTCCACCGACGAGTGGCCGTGCCGGCCAGCCTGCGGACGACAGTCCCCGTCACCGCCCGCGGGCCCCGAACGCGTACTCTCCGAGCGGCTGCGCGCAGCTCGGGACTGGGCGGAGGGCGAGGGTGCCGCTCAGACAGAAAAGCTCAGCCATCGCACGGGCCCCATGCCACCCCGCTCCGCTGAGCCCACGCCCTCAGATCTACACCCTCTAAAGACCTCCGCCTTCAAAGGCCTGGAGGGCAGGTGGGGAAACGCGGAGGGCAGTGGGAGCGAGGGTCACTGGCTGCCCCCGAGGAAGGCTCCATCCAGCTCTCCAGCTGTGCGACGGGAGCTCTACATGCAACATGCATGGGGACAGAGTGGAGGTGGGCAGGGGGCGGATGTGGAAGACAGCAAGCAGCCCGCAAGAGCGTGGACACCGGGGAAGGACGGGGGAGAGAGCACCCCGGGGCTGCCTGCAGACGCGACAGCCCGCGCTTTACCCGTGTGCCCTGGACGGGGGAGGAAGCGGGACCGGAGCCTGGAGGCACAGCCCCGGCTGGGGCCCCCACTCACTGCGGCCACCGGCCACCTGCTCCCGTGCCACGTACCTGGATCTTCTTGTGCAGCAGCTGCAGGGCCAAGTCCTTCAGAGAGACCCGGGTGCGCGTATGGAGGCCAGGCCGCTGGAGCAGGTTGGGCACGTAGGTGGTGTCCCGGGTCTGGCTCCGAGGGTGGACGTACTTGAGGGCCTGGAAGTCGTTGTGTAGTGCGTGCCCCACCACCACCTTGCCCTTCAGGAGCTTGAGGATCTGGGAGCGGAGAAGGGAGGTGGGAAGTCCCCACGGTC